TTTGGGGGGGTTCCTTACTATAGTTATAGTATAAGATACACCAAGACCAAAACTCCATTCTAATTATGAAGGCCCCTACATTCGGCATCAGGGTTCAAGATTCAAGATGAGGGTTTGGGGTTTAGGGCACAGGATGCCTCAACCCCTAAACCCTGATCGCCTGAAATCAAGCTGTCGAAATCCTTTACACTCGAGTTCTCAGCTTTTTGCAGGTCTCGTGGCATGGAGTATAGCGCAGCAAGCTTCGGGCAGACATTTGAGGGTTTAGGGGTTTAGGGTTGAGGGTTTAGGGGATTCGATAGCTGGAGGCAAAGTTGCGTGCAATAAGGAGCACGGTTGCGCAGGTTGAACATTCCAGAGAGTCGGACGAGACGCGTTCAGCTCATGACCTGCAGCTGTGGCCCTTCATGCCAGTTGAAGCCACGGAAGTAAAGTACTAGATGCAACAAATTTCATGACGTCGTTTTGTCTTCCTGTTTGTACGCACCTGAGTCGACAAGATGTCTAGAACGTTTAACGTCTGGCCTACTAAGTTACTATTGCAATGCAGCACTCAGACGCCGGGCCTTTCCTTTTAACATTGGTGCTACCTACTTCCCAGAAATAGTTCTAGGTGGCAGCTTCTGCGCGAAGTACACCTATCGTATACAATAATGAATAGGCGTACTGTTACTAGTTGTTCCGACCTCTAAATTGGGGCTTTCTTTGCTTGATCTTCGCCGGCTCACCATGGCGGTTGCCAATCCGGGAAAAGCGCGGCTCAACGTAGGCCTGAGTTCCCAGGTGTTTGCAGTTTGCAGCTGATTAGTTTCGGGCCTAAGTTGATGCTAAGGTTGAGAGGTCTGGCCGTAGCCTGTGGCGTGAGAACTTGGGATTACTTATGAAATTGGTGGACGAAGCGTGTTGGGAGTCGGGAATCTGTGATCTGAAGCCATAAACCGTATCAGCCCTGTACTCTATAAACCCGATGAGCCCTAAACCCTATACAGCTTATACGCCTAAACCTCAGTGGTTCTAAACCCCGAACCCTGTAACCCTATAAACCCCAAACCCTACCAGCTCCATAAGCCCTACAAACCCAGAACCCTCTAAGCTCTGAGCCCTAAGCTCTAAGAATAAACTGTTTTGTCATAAACCACACAAAAATTACCCGACAAGCCCTGGAAGCTCTATAAACCGTATCAGCCCTATAAACCTTATGAGCCCGAAAAGCCCCAAACCCGCTAAGCCCTAAGCCCTAAACTCGATCGAAAGCAAAAAACCTAAAAGCAATTTACCCCATACGCCCTATAAGCCCTAAACCTCATATGCTCGACATGCCCTTTGTGCCCCGCGCTCTATAAGCTCAAGCCCCAAGAGCTGTTTATGCTATAATGCCATAAATGCCCGAAACACCTCTAAACCGCACCTAAACCTGATAAGCCCTACAAGCCCCACACCCTAAAGCTAGGACACCGAAACTTGAGCAGCGTAGAGGCCCGAATCCTAAGCCCTAAACACTATAAACTCCCAAAAATATGTAAAATAATGGCCCAAAACCCATAAAAGGCGATTGTTCTACATATGTGTGGGGTCCAAGTAAACACTATAAGCCCGAATCCCAGCTGCGAGGTCAACGTTTTGCCTTGACCCCCGAGGGCAGACTGTACCGGGCTGCCAAGGACCTCTGAAGTGCTTTGGGATTGTATGTGATATTTAACTCTAGAAAGAGGTTCAGCCTAGGGTTGAGACAGTTTCGAGTCTATTCAGGTTTAGGGTTTGTAAGTTCTTCTCTGCCTTATGGTGAAGCTAAGCCCTTAATGTGGCACCTACGCCGCGCCATTACCCATCTATTACGGGGTTTAGTGTTTAACCAAAAGACCGGCTTTGACAACTTGCATGCCCCAAGAATGGACGAAAACTGATTCATCTGATTTTTCGTGTCGGGGCTTCGTCCTCAAGGACAACGCTACTTGGGGTGGGCGAGGTTTCTGGACTTTAGGGTCCATCATTTAATTTCGAATCTGCGGCAGATGGTGTCGAGAGCGACGGACCCAGATTGGAATCGAAGGGGGCTGAAGGTACCAATAACTGCAGTCCCCGGATCTTTGGCTGCAAGCTGTTGGCAACGGCGATGATGCGCATGACGCCGATGTCTGTATCGCTGATGCTGGAGATGATGATGACAGCGATGATGGGGCGGTGGTGGCGGTGGTGTTTGTAAGGTCGCAACTCTTTTGCCTAAAGACTGTTGGCACGCTTTTCGAAACTGTACTCCTAAGGGTCCATGTACCCGAATAGCATATACTGTGGCCTTAAAGTAGTCCCTATATAGGTACTTTGGGGCCAAAGTATCTACTATTTGGGTACTCGGACCCTCTGGGGTATTCATGTGAGGACGGCGACATTGAGGGCGTGGCAGCTGCCTGCGCTGAGGGTGCGAAGCTCCTTCGTCGACGTGACGGCCCGAATCGTGAACCCCAAATTAAAACCCTAGACAACTCTTTAGGGTTAGAGGGTTTAGGGTTTAGGGGTGTAGGGTTTTAGGGTTTTAGGGTTTAGGGTTTAGGCCCCATAGTAGTTCCTTTTTGGGGTTACCTTATAGGATTCTAAATCTGAACCCCAAGAAGGAACTACTATGGGGCCTTTGGGTAAAACCTTAAACAGCTCATCCAACTTTTCCCAGTTCTCCATTCACAACTCATCCGACTTCTCCTAGTCCTCCATTCTTCGGAGCCTTCTTCGGTGCCCCCATGTGACCCCCAACTCAAAGCCTCCACAGCGAACCAGAACTAGAAGCGACCTAATAGTAATATGTCGAAGTAGTGTTTGTTCATAAGAAAGAATCGTCTTTCTGTTGTTGTCAACTCGTACTCTGCTTGGTCTGTGGCAGTCTTAGCTTCCTTCATCATTTTCATAAATCGTGCTGCGGTACGCTTCACTACGTATTACTCGTTGCTCTTGTAGACAACAGCCTTGGCCAGTACCATCACAACTAGTATAGGGGCCTAAATAATTATTTATCTTATTTTGGGGGGCTCTTCCTCATTGTTATAGTATAATATACCCCAACACCCAATTCTGATTATTAAGGCCCCTACAGTATCACATGGTCCAAGGCTGGATGTTCAACACCCCGAATTCGGCTCACAACCGTTGGTGATTGCCACGCTGCTCGGCACGGTTTAGGCAGCACAGCTCCAAGGCAAGCCTGTCTAAAACTGTGGCACACTGAGGACCTAGCCACTGAAGCTCCGAATAGCCCTAAGAACCCTGAAGCTCGAACTCTCTCTCTCTCTCTCTCACGGCCGCGTCTCGCGCCCCAAAGATAGAGGCAAGCTGGGATTTGCTGGTGCATATCTTTCATCTTAAGGATCCTACACTCATGTCGGGCTTTCTGAATATGAGCTGTGCCCTATGTTGTAGCTCCTTGGAATAAGGATAAGTATCCTACCGAGTCCTGCTCTTTTTGACTGCAGGTGCAAGTGTTCAAGATCACGCTCCTAAACCCTTAATCTTAAACCCGAACCCCAAGCCCCTCCAGGCACCTCCCTTCCTGAGATGAGCTTTTGGTTCTCTGCAAACTTGTGGGAGGCTGGTGAGGTCCAGGGACCAGAAGCGCACGGTCAGCATAAACTGCCCAGAAACCCATCTATCAAGTTCGTAGTGGTAGGTAAGACAACCTTTCAACCATTTTGGGGTAGTATGATCCCTTTTATGATCCCATACGTTAGCCTTTAGCTCCCCGAGGATACCGGACAAGTAAGAGTTCAAGCAGCCAGAGCTGGGCGTCGTCTCAAAATGGTTTGCTCCGCGGGGCTACGCCCTAAACCCTAAATCCGAAACCCTAGTCCAAAAACCCTAAACCGTTGAAGAACATGGCCAAGCCCTTGGCCAGGTTGAATGGCCACACCGAGTGCGTGCACTACCTGCTTGAAGAGAAGGTACCCCGAAGTTTGTTTAGGGTTCCTTAGGATAGCAGTTCGGGAAATGGTCAAGTTCCAGTGAAGCATCGTGTGAGAGGAATAGGTGTTTAACGGCTCCGGGTAGAAGTAGCCTGGTAGTGGCAGACGGTTGCATGAAAAAGCACCAGTTCGATGGTTCAATCTTCAGCGATGCATGTCGAAACTGTGGGAAGCAAAAATCCTGAACCTCCCATACCGACTTAGTTTAAGTTACTATAATAAGGACACCATACTATTTACTATAGATCCCTATTATTGTAACCTTCAACCCTAAACCCTAAACCCCGAACCCTGCACTTTAAGCCGGAAACTGCTTTGTGAAGGCCGATGTGGAGCAGAGAAACAAGTTCGGATGGACTCCGCTACTGTCTGCGGCTTCCAAGGGGAACCTCATGCTGTCAGGCGCCCGACCTCTGCAGTTTCGGCTTGTGCAGTTTGGGGTTTAGAGTTTAAGGGTTTAGATTTGAGGGTTTAGGATGTTTACGGCTTCGGGGTTCAAGGCTTTACGGGGTTCAAGGGGTTTTAAGTTTCGAGGTC